CTGTTTGCAGGGGTAGGCTGGGCTTACATTAGTTCATAATGGAAACGTAAGAACTGGCAAGGGCTGTGTGTTCCCTTGCAGAGAAAACTGCAAACGCATGCAAAGAGTGGAGGATTAGTGCAGTTCATTTGGTACAAACATACAGTGGTAATTGGCATGTATGGTTCAGATCAGTAACACAGTTGCTCACTGGAATGTTGTTATAAAATGGTCAAGGAAACTGAACACAACACTATAAAGAAGCTTGTTAGGCAATAGGATTGCCATGACCAGAATTTGTTAAGTGTTCCTTGAATCCCTAAGAATTAAAAAGAGTGTAGTGGTGTCTGTCTATTCATCACTGTAGCGCTGAGATGAGAAAGGCACACAATGTGGAATTCAACATTCTGTGCAACTATAAATATCAAAGGTGAAGATTACATGTGGCAAACATCTTCACAGCTGAAGTAGTTAAGATACGAGACCCTTGACTGACTGATGCTTCTTAGTACATGTACACTATCACAGTTCCCAGAATTCCATAGCATTAAGCCATGGCAGTTAAAGTGGTGACAAACTGAATTATTTCTGCAGTGTGGGTGCAACCACAGATTATAGCCAGAATGTTGATTGTGTAAATCATGAAAACCTATGGATCGCTCTTAAAGAAATGAGTGTTCCACATTTGATTGTCCTGATGTGTATGTACCCTGTACTCAGGACAAGAGATTACTGTAAGGACAGCATACAGAGGAACAGAATTTAGAATTGGCAAGGGGGTCAGACAAGGCTGCATCTGATCACCCTATCTGTTTAACTTGTATGCTGAAAATATCATACATAAAGCAGGACTAGGCTTGGAAGAAAGAGGTGTGAAAGTTGGAAGAAGAAACATCAACAGTTTAAGACATACAGATGACACCGCACTACTAGCAGAAAATAACAAAGACTTGGAACAATTATTGAAGAAAGTCAACAAGGAAAGTGATAAGGCAGGTTTAAAAAGGCAAAGGTAAAGGTATTCCCCATTCGTGTACAACCATAAGGGGTGGTGTTCATCTCCATTAGTAAGCTGAAGAGCCAGTGTTGTCAGAGACTACTCTGTGATCATGTAGCAGGCATGATTGCACAGAATGCTGTTTAACTTCCCACTGAAGTGGTATCTATTTATCTACTTGCATTTCCTTGCTTTCGAATTGCTAGGCTGGCAGAAGCTGGGACTAGTGACAGGTGCTCACCCCATCATGTAGCACAAATACCCAGGCCTCGAACTGCCAACCTGCCAATCTTGCAATCAACAGCGCCAACGTCTTAACCACTTGAGCCTCTGCATCCCATGATAAGGCAGGTTTACTGCTGAATATTAACAAAACAAAAATAATGACCACAAATGACTTACATAACTTTAGACATTGAAAACACTGAAATAGTTCAAGATTTTCTATACTTTGGCTCAATCTTTAATCAGAAACTGAAAACTCCAGTCAGGAAATCAGAAGAAGACTAGGTCTTAGCATGGCAGCATTGAAGGAACTAGACATGATCCTGAAGTGTAAAGATATATCATTGAATACTAAAGTTAGGAATGTCCATACCATCATATTTCCCACTTTTATGCATGATTGTGAAAGCTAAATAGTGAAGGAAGCTGAAAGGAAGAAAATCAACTTATTTGAGATGTGGTGCTGGAGTGCTGGAGAATATACTGTTGATACTGTGGACTGCTAAAAAGACATAGGGTAACTTGGAGGTCTCTCATTCATAGGTTCATCATAAGTCGAAGTTGACTTGATAGCAATTAATAATAACAACAGATATTTTGATTAAATGTATTTATCAGTTTGCTTTCTATTACAATATAATCTTGTTATTGTTATTGTTGTTGTTTGTATTGTATCTGGATTATTTGTTGTACAATTTTATTATTTAGCTCTATATTTGTTTTATTCTTTCCCTTTCCTATATACATATTTTAGATCAGGGGTAGGCAACCTTTCCCCTTTAAGGGCCAAGGGACTTCAGCTCCCAGAAGCCTCAGCCGTGTTGGCCAATAGTCCCATGTTGGCCAATAGCTCCTGGGATTCTGGGAGCTGAAGTCCCTCGGCCCTTAAAGGGGAAAGGTTGCCTACTCCTGTTTTAGATTGTATCCCTTTGGCAGAGCTCACTGATTTTGCTTGTTTTACATGTGAAACACCATGTACATCACTGGTGTTATAGAAATAAATTACAATAATAATTATTTATACTTAGTTGTGGTGAATGGGTTTAGCATGAGAGACGCCCTGTGGCGCAGTGGTTAAATGCCAGTATTGCAGCCACAAGGTTGTGAGTTTGATCCCAGGCAGGGCTCCAAGGTCCACTCAGTCTTCCATCCTTTTGTAGATCGGTAAAATGAGTACCCAGCTTGTTGGGGACCATTGGTTTACACATTGTAAACTGCTTTGGGAGTGTTAGTTCACTGATAAGCAGTATTGAAATGTACTTGCTATTGCTATTGCTATTGCTAAAAGGCATATAGGGCTGCAGCCTGAATCCCTAAGTCTTTCTTGTTCGGTTCCTGTGCTTGAGGAATCATATTTTAATAGCACACGTCCAGTACTTGTCTTTCTAAAACACCTCCTGTCTTTTTCCTCCCATCTCTGTAGGTGATTGCAATTGTGATGGATCTCTTCACAGATATGGAAATACTCAGTGATCTAATGGAAGCTTCAGGCAAACGACATGTTCCTGTTTACTTGATCCTTGATGAAAAAAACCTGAAATACTTTGCTGAAATGTGCAATAAAATGGATCTCACAATGGATGACTTCCCAGTAGGTTTCTTGATTTTGTTAGAAATTAATGGCAAAGATAAAATAATGTGCAATTAAACATGCAAATAAATGTGGGCACATTTATATCTGAAACTAATTGGAGTTCATACTTACCCTCACTGAGAAGAAAAGCTGTTTATTTAGCCAAAGTGAATTATTATTATCATCAGTACCCTTTTGCCCCACAACTGGGAATCATCAAACTTCAAATCCCATGAGTGACTGATTGATGGATGGACTGATGGAGGTGTCATTTAAACTGGGATGATAGTAGCTTTGGCAATATGTATTGTACAACAAAGCCTCCGACCCATGGCTGCTCTATCCTCGACCTGCAGCTACTGCATCCCTTTTCATTGACAGGGGAAACCCATCAATGACCTTGCAATTGCACAAGTGCCCAGGTATGAAATGTTGCTGCCAGGGCAGTTGCAAGATTGGTAGTCATGTGGTGTCAGTGTCTCCTCCTCTTCCCCCTCACTATTTCCAAGCAGCCTAATTCCCTTTATTTTTATTCTCTTTAATTTTATTGTAAAATTAACTTGCAGTAACAGAGCTCTGGAATTGCATTAAAAAAGTGAAGATAAAATAACCGAAAGGCATGCTGGATAGGGAAGTAGGGTTAAGGGAGAGTCAGGAAGATTGCACAATGACAGCAGAAGCCCCACTTACATGATTGAGAATATGTGTGGTGATGGCTGCTCCAAAAGTGATATGTTTGCATTAAAAAAAAACCTGATATGATTGCTGTGAGAGTGGGGCTTGTGTGGTAATGCCCTGGTATAATATCAGTAATCATATAGAGAGACATCCTCATGACCCACTGTTTCCTTTGTAAAGGAACTCAATGCTAAATGGATATTCAGATAGATGGCAGGCATAAATTAAAGAGGTTTGGCTTTTTTTCAGGATGGTGCATTGATAGGGGAAACCTGGCGTGTTTAATTTTTGCCTGCTTTTAGCCAGTTAAATACACAGAACACTGACAGGGAAAAGTAGGTAAGCAATTTTGGGATTGTAAAGGCATCTCTATTTACAAATTGTGGTGTATTGCCACAATAACAAATACTTTAAAAACATGAACTGGATCTGCTAAAAGTAATGTGGAAGAATGTGTGTGGTATGTGGCATCGAGGCATTCATCTAATGAACATGTATAGATTGAAGATAATTGCATTTATTCATTTTTTACAGCCTGACTTTCAGCCAGGCGGCTAAGAATAAGAAAATAGAGATTAAGAATAAAATAAGACCATAACCTAAAAGGCAATTAAAAGCAGGATAAAAAAGATAACAAGCAGCCAGCCATATAGCCCTCTTAAATAGCAAATCATCTTATCTACTAAATTTCTGGGTGAATTTTAAAAAGTCTTTGCCTGCCAACAGAAAGACAACAGTGTGGGAGTCAAAAGGGGAATGGTTTTCTCCTTCCACTCTGGGCAATAGTAGATGTGATGGGGCTAGGGACATTTGACTAGTTGTCTCTATGTGGAAGGTCTTTAGTTTTTAACCCAAAGGGACCAGAGCTAGAGGAACTGAACCATTGTTTCCCCACAAATATTTTCCTACCAAGCAGGCTTATTTCTTAGTTTTTAGTGGAACTCAGTGAGAAGAACAGTGTCCAAGGGGGAAAGACCAGGGAAGTAAATGATAGGTGCTATGGTGATTCATTCAGCTCCTTGCCAGAACATTTTCTTTGCTCTTTAAAAAAAAATGACACATACACATAATACTATGCACACCAAAGGCAGATCCAACTTTAAAACAAAAGGCCTCCTGCTGTCATGCCTAATTTTTCCCTTTGACTTCTATAAATAAGGGTTTGGATTTTCCACATGACTTTCCTGAGCAATTAGAACATAGCTTTTGCCCAAGTGAATCAGTCCTAGTTCCTCTGATCCAATGTTCTGTTTTAATTGTTTAATAAACAAATTGACTACTTTCCTTAACCCATACCCTTTTTGTGAATCTGAGCAGATCTTACATGCTCTTCTAAAAAGTAGCATTCTGATATAGTGGGGGATTCATATTTCCCTGTCTTTTGACAATATTGCATTCTTGTTGTTGTTATTATTGTGTGCCTTCAAGTCATTTCTGACTTATGGTGACCCTATCACAGGGTTTTCTTGGCAAGATTGGTTCAGAGAAGGTTTGCTGTTATCTTCCCTGAGAGTATGTGACTTGTCCAAGGTTACCCAGTGGGTTTCATGGCCGAGGTGGGAATCAAACCCTGGTCCCTAGAGTCGTAGTCCAACACTCAAAACACTATGCCACACCAGCCCACATTGCATTCTAGCTCTTTTCAATAAATGTATGATAATCTCTTAAGTCTTCTTGAGCTATCATAACTTTCCAATATTCAGATAAGGGTTAGGAGTGAATGAAATAATTGGGTCCTTGAAATGCTTTCCAGTATTTTATATTCATAATGTATTTCCAAAACATCCCTCGCCCGACAAAGCAGATCAGTTTCTGGTCCTCCCATACCCCCAGCAATTATTATACCTTATCCTGTATTTAGTTTATTTAGGGTTGTGAACATCCATCCTGTGAGCGAGATGTACTGTTAATGTACAGGTACTGTTAATGTTGATGAAATGTCATAAATTCTGGATTTTATAGAAACTTTTCCTTATGATTCATTTAGATTTTTATTGAGATACATATTGCAACAGCAGCCAGTTGCAAGTTTCACATTGTTTATATATTGCATGCATATATAAGCTGACTTTAGGAAGAAAAGGATATCTGTCTTGAAATTTTTAAATCTCTGTTACGCCTTCTGATTCCCATTTCAGAACATGCGCATACGCTGTGTGAGTGGAGACACATACTATAGTAAAGCTGGCAAGAAGCTTACAGGACAAGCACTTGAGAAATTTGTGCTGATAGATTGTGAACAAGTCCTTGCAGGAACCTATAGGTGAGAATTCATGAATAATATGTCTAAGGATGCTCTTGCATGCGAAGAATACCTTTTGGAGAGGGCACTAATAGTGTTGTTTTGAAATCTATGCATATAGATAAGTGCCCTCTGATGTGCAGTTTTTAAAAGCAATTTAAAAATTCATATTATTTCATATTACTGCTTTACCTCTGTGAGGTGTCTGAATTTACTTGTCTCTTGTGAAAGCACCAAAGGGTTATAATTCTAAATATATTAGAAATAAACTCCACTGATCATACTGGGATTTAATTCTGAAGAAATTCTGAATATCATTGGATCTATTTTTCACATTATATTTTGTCCCACCTTACCTCTGAGGAACTGAGGGTTGTATATACAGTCGCTCCTTTTTATCTTCACAAGTTTTGTTGCTAAAACTGGATCTTCTCAACGTACCTTCAAATACACAGTTGTACATATAGACCATAACAGAGTTTGGGAGAGTTCCTTTTTGGGATTACAATTCTGAGAATTCTGGGAATTATGGTAAAAAAAATGTAACATTTCCAAGTTCACTATGTCATTGGCCCAAATGAAGACACAGAAGATTGATGCAAATTTCTTCATTTACATGGCTCCCTTCTTTTTGGACGTAATTTTATCTTTATTTCAAGGCACCAGATCCCCTCTGATCCTGAAAACTAAGCAGGGTCAGCATTGGTTAGTACTTAAATGGGAAGCTGCCAAGCTGCCAAGGAATATCAGGTGCTGTAGGCAATATTTCAGAGGAAGAAACTGACAAAACCACCTCTGAGTATTCCTTGCCTAAGCTCTATGAAATCATGAGGTCATCATAAGTCAACAGGTGACTTAAAGGTACATATGCACACAAAATATAGCTTTCTTATTTCCCTTTGTACCTGTATGCCATAATTACTTGGTCATGCATGCCATTTCCTTGTCTTTGCTTTTATGAAATATTTTTACTAAAAAAAAAACCCTACAAAAACCAACTTGTATTTGCTTGACTAATAACACTCACTGTCCTTCGTCCAGGCACCCAATCTAAATCTAACTCATCGGCAGGTTATTGAGAAAGCTTTAATAGTAGCATTCTCCTTGTCCTTCCATTTGACTTAACAGGCAATCTGCCAACCTCATTAAATATTCCCACAGTATGAAGACATCTAAAGTGTACACCAAGATTCCCTTCCAAAATGGCACTTCCTTTTTATATATCTTTTAACAGGTAGGATTATAATAATGAACTTGAGTGTCAACAAGTAACCTGACAGTCAAACCTGCCATTGTCAAATGCACTTGGAAACAGAATAGTTTATCTGGCAAATATTACCATACATACCTTTGAGTAAACATTCAAAGTTTTCCTTACAGCAGATCCCAGAATTAATGGGCTGGAAAACATTTCTTAATTTATTCCACCCAGACATATTTCTTTCATGTCCTTCCCCCATTAAAAAAATGAAAAGGGAAGAAATATATTGTACTGTTACTGTTTCTGTAGAAGGGAACGTTTTAATGAGTGCAGAAATTTGCAACTCCTGAAATTCATTTTTCTACACCATTATTAAATTATAAAAAGCCATCAACATCAACATCAGATGTTGTGTGTCCCGCAATGTAGTATATGAATAAAAATATTTTGTTTATTTAGTATGCATATTTTCATTTGCATATTCATGTATATTCATATCTTAATCTTTTTAAAGTAAATAACATTCACATTAGAACAGTTTTATTTCAATATATTCAATATTCTGCTCAACACATGTGTAAATGTTACATATAGAAAAGTTTGGGAAGAGTCAAAGGAGGAGGGATCAGAGCCTCCAAGTCTTGTGTTCCCCATCTGGGGGTCCCAACCCCACCATTTGAGAACCACTGCCCTAGTCCTTAGCACTGAAAACAAGCTGAAGGGCTAAATTTTCATATTCAGGTCCTATAGCAAATCATCTGTTTCTCCAGACCTCTAAATCTAAGCAATGCTTCAAGCTAGAATTGGCAAAGTCCAGGCTAGTCCTATTTGCAGCTGCTGTCAACCTCTGTACAATCTTCTGCCTATGAATGCCATCTAGAATTGCCAAGTGATAGGATCTATCCTTGTTTCAGTGGTCTTTTCTTACAAGGCTGTCTAGAGAATATCAATATCAATTTAGAAGGCAAATGTGGGGTACGAAGGTATGGTAAATCCAGGAATC